GTCAATCTAGCAAAATATATACACATTGGAGTTGTCATGAGTTCATAAATCAAAGGAGTTTGTCAAAGGCATTCAGATTAACGAGGCAGCAGCAATAACAAGTCAAATTTGCATAGAGAATTGCCCGAATCTCAGTAAATTATGATCCTGTTTTTCATTTGATTATTTGCTAATGTCTCAAGAGGGAGAATGATTATATTAGCATGCAAAATCTACTCCAGAAGTAGGAATCGGAGGTACAGCCGACCAGCACACGACGACAATTAATCAGTTTCTGCATACTAGCATGAACGCACAAGGCCCAGAAATGAACTCCTTTTATTATTATTTCTCCTTGCTACTGATCCAAATGGTTCAGCTTGACAGCGACTTTATATTGCTTTAACAGTGTTCTGAATTGTGCCTGCAGGCAAGACATAGTTATGCAGCTATAACCAACCTATCCATCTGCCAACCAGATTGGAATTCTCCTATCCAAAGCTTCCATTAACCCCCACTGACAGCTCCAAACAGGATTAAGGATTTGAAAGCATAAAAAGTGCTCTCTGCATAGACATGGTTCCTCTCTCACACACAGATAGACATTTGAAAAAGTGCTGCATCTGTATGGCTTTATAATTAGTGCTGGCAAGTACAGTCTTTTCCTCCTCCCACCCTGAGAAGAAGAAGAAGAAAAGCATCTCCGTAGTTGGCATGGTTATTGTGATATCTATTGTGAGATGAGGGGCTGTCTAAAAAGGTGGTTCTGTTCAGCTGATAGTCCTTTGGAATGCTTTCATCCATCCATTGCATCTGATTCCAGCATTTGTTTGGATGGTTTATATGCATGAAAGTTGCAATAGCACAGTTAAGTTGCTTCAGTGCAACTATGAGGACATTTTAGGTAGGGGTGGCGGCTGAGTTTCCTATGTCATTGATATTAATAAATTGTGTATGGGGTTTAGGGGTAGTACCGGGCGTTGGGGTAGCTATGTTGCCATGCAAGTGAATTCTGTTAATTACAAGTCTTTTCACACAAATGGGATTTGTCAAGGGTCTCTTTTAGACACTTAACTGTCTAAGATTAGAACATAGGATTGTCTCAAAAACATGCTTCTGTTAGCATTGTAAAAGAGAAGTGATCTTTACCTTGCTGCTGATAGTTCAAGTGTGCCTAACTGTTAAGATAAGAATGAGGATTTCAAACCCCATTCACATGCTCAGCTTTCCCAGAATTTCCTGTACTAGAATCCTGATTAAGTTCCATGGAAATGTTGTTTCACAAGAGAGGCCAAAGAAGCTCATACTTCTTTTCAGACTTTCCTTACAGTTATGTTACATATCCAATGCTTGCTTATAGGAGGCATTTTTATTGTGGGATTTTTTGTGTGTCCTCCATACTTCACTGCCCCACATAATCCCACTGTCTTTCTGATAAGCATTTGATGATCATGGGATAATTCCAAACATTACCTTCTACCAATACCATGTGGGTTGAGCTCAAGGGTTGAGCTGTCATTCTGGAAATGTTGGCTTGCTGAGTGCTAGATGTGGGGGAAGATTACCAGAGCACATACTATGAGGTAAACTGGTCTCAAAAAAGACCTGATTAATTGTGCCTTGTGCTTCATGCCTGAAATTGTACTGCTTGTGAGAGAGATTCCACATATCTTGCTTTTGTAAAAAATATTTGTCAAATGAGAGCAGCCTGGTGAAAAGAAAGCATTCAATCTAGTACAATCAAGAGCTGTCAGCGTTTTCACCCACATCTTTTGGGGTGGGCTGTGGGGAGGCTTCTGCTTTCTCCCTCCCATGTGATTTTACTGCAGTTTTGATTTCCTTGATGCTGTATTCTGTATTCAGTTTTAGAATTTCACTTAAAACATTCCTTTATTGGTCAATAGAGGGCACCAGCAATTCTTAATTTTTGCTCCCAAGGGCCCAGATAGTGCTATGAGACCTGATGAGCAGTTCAGTGAGGCCTGCAGATGTACTTATTTATTTTATTTTTAAAATGCATAGCGGAATCTAAAGATTGCAAAGAATTTTCTGTGTTCTAAAGCTTGTTGTCCACATGGAAACAAGATTTCCAGTTTCCAAGCAATCGGTTCCATCTTTGCTGCTTCTTAAGGAGCATAATCTTTTCCAGTTTTCATCCTTTGCCAAGCGTAACTTAACTTGCTGACAAAAGTGCATGAGCAGCGCTCCTTTTTAATAGTCTGCTGTGTTGGTGCAGTAGAATGGGGCGACGGCAAGCTGTGAGCCACCATATGCACTTGGCAGTCATTGTCTGGTCTTTGTTCAGCCAACCTCTTAGTCTTGCCACCTATAAAGATAATGAATAAAACAAAGGTTTCAAATTAGCTGTTTAGTTTCAAGGAAGAAATTGGTAAACTTGAAGCATGTTGGGACAGGCAACATAAAGGCTGTTGAATTCCATGGCATTTGGTAATGCATTTATCCTAGAAGGAAGGCGAAGGAGAGAGAAAAAAAGGGAGCATGTGCTTCAAATATATGTTATTATTCTTGGTGCTGCCACTTGTTAGTACTGTATTCAGGCACCACCCTAAAAGTATAATGTATGTACTAGTTTTACTTTTTCTTCTTCTTGTGTTATTAATTCCATATTCCCCACCCATATTTTAACCTTTTCATGGACTATGTCCTTCATCATTAGTCAGTCTGTTTCCAGTTTCAGATCCTTCCTTGGAAAGCCAGTGTGGTGTAGTGGTTAAGAGCGGTAGTCTCGTAATCTGGGGAACCGGGTTTGCGTCCCCGCTCCTCCACATGCAGCTGCTGGGTGACCTTGGGCCAGTCACACTTCTCTGAAGTCTCTCAGCCTCACTCACCTCACAGAGTGTTTGTTGTGGGGGAGGAAGGGAAAGGAGAATGTTAGCCGCTTTGAGACTCCTTAAAGGGAGTGAAAGGCGGGATATCAAATCCAAACTCCTCCCCTTCTTCTTCTTCTTCTTCTTCTTCTTCTTAAAACATACTCTATAAGTAGATTGACCAAGACAGTGGATGGTGCTTTGTCTACCCTTTCCTATCCAGACTCCATTCATGGTAACTCAGTCTTTACCATTTGGGTTAGCCAAAATACCTGTTGCGTAGAAATCCTGTCTGTTTTTATATCCTATATAACGTTCTTTATTTATACCAAAGTCTTCAACTGTAAAAGAGCTTCTGGAACAGCTAGTGTCAGTATGTAGCAAATATATCAGCTTACTAAACTATATTGTAACAGTGGCATGGTATTTTGGAGTTCCTCTGTGTTCCTCTTAGTATTTAGGTTGCAACTCACAGGACTAATTTTGGTCTTTCCACAAAGTCACTGCTTCCAGGAGCTGTTTGCATGCTACATTTCTAAGTCCCATAAAAATATTTTTTTTACATTGTGATCCTTAATTTTGTAACATACAGTTGCTAGCATATAAAGTCTGGAACAACTCTGGATTCAAGTACCTAAAGGAGTGTCTCCCAAATAACTACCCAAACCATGTATTACGATCAGTGGGCAATGCCTTGCTTTCTGACCCATTTGTGGAAGTGGCTGTTAGGACAATGACATGTGACAAGTCATTCTTAGTGGCTGTGCCCATTTATACAATCACAGAAAAATAGAATTGTAGAGGTGGAAGTGATTCAAGGATCGTTCTGGTCCAACCCCCTGCAGTGCAGGAATCACAACTAAAGAATGCCTGGCAGATGGCTAGCTAACACCTTTTTAAAAACTTACAATGAAGGAGAGTCCACCACCATCCAAGGTAGTCTGTTTTTCCTAAACAACATTTGGTTGGCACCCATAGTTGATACATTTAAATAAAGGCTGAAGACATTTTTATTTGTCCAAGCTTTTGGATCTTAATGGAAACATTAAGGATAAGTATTAGGACCTGTTTATAACTTGATCATAAATGATCTAGAGTTAGGAGTGAGCAGAGAGGTGGCCAAATTTGCTGATGATACTAAATTGCTCAGGGTTGTTAAAACAAAAAGAAAATGTGAAGAGCTCCAAAAGGACATCTCCAAACTGAGTGAGTGGTCAGTAAAATGGAAAATGCAGTTCAATGCAAAGTGTAAAGTCAGGGCAAAAGAATAATAATCATAATTTCACATATATTATCAGGGGATCTTTCTGTGGCTGACCAGGAATGAGGAGTCCTAGTGGATATCTCAATGAAGATGTGCAGCAGCTGTGAAAAAGGCAAATTCAATGCTAGGGAGCATTAGGAAGGGAATTGAAATCAAATAAGGTGGTTATACAAATCTATGGTACCGCCACATTTGGAATACTGTGTGCAGTGCTAGTTTCCTCACACGAAATAAGACCTTGTAGAGTTGGAAAAGGTTCAGAAAAAGGCAACCAAAATGATTGTGGTAGTTGGGATTTCCCAATTTAGAGAGAAGGCAAATAAGAGGTGACATGAAGTTTATAAATAGATAGAAAAAAGTTGTTCTCCCTCTTCCATAACACTGGAAGTCATGGATATCCAATGAAGTTGAATGTTCAGCAGGCTCTTCTTAGGTTCTTAACGTTCATTATCAAAGTCATTGAAGTGTAAGTAATTCCATTGTATTAAACCCTAGTATTGTTGTGAGCCAGGGCATCCCACTTTAGTTATGTAGAAGAGTTCAGATCCAGCATTATGGAAGTGCTTGGACACACGCTGGGAATACAAAAAATCTGACTTTGTAATATTTTGAAAGTCTTGTTTAATTAGACAGGTATCTGTCATGAAGGATTATGTCTAGGGTCTGTTTATCGTGGCTTGCTGTTTTCCATGATACTGGATATGTCACAGGCTATGCCTATGGCAGACACTCATTCCAATTTATCCAATTGCGTGCCAGACAAAATAAAAAATATTGACGCCTCTTAACAAAAAGAATTCTAAGGAAGTGAAATCTCATAGGTACAGTAATGTTGCTGAAAACATCAGATTTTTTGCTTTCTTAGATCAGTGTTGAAAGGAAAATATCTGAATTAATGATTTCCACCTTTTCCCCTCTCATCTGCATAGAATTCATCTGAGAGAGAAGACTGTAACAATGACGAGCCCCCCAGGAAGATCATTCCCGAGAAGAATGCACTCAGGCAGGTATGCACTGAATTTAGGTGTGCAAAACCCACCCAGCCCCTTTACTTGAATGACCTAGAGTCCTTTGACATCCCTTGCCACTTGGAAAGATGCAAAACACATAAAGGAATTATTATTATTTTTCTCTCTCTCCCTCCCTCTCTCTTTCCTGAAAGAGTATATAAGTTTTCAAGTTACAACAGCTGTTCTTTGGAAGGCACCTTGGAGCTAATTCACATCTTTCCAGAGCAGTATGCAAGCTTACTTTCTTATGTATCGTACATTGCTCCAGTAATGTGCCTTAGAGAGCAATCTTGTGGGTCAAGCAGGTGGTGTGATTCTTTGCTGTGCTAGTAATGCATGGATAGTGAATTCCTTGTTATGTGCTGTACAAGTGATCCACGTATTCTGCAACCACCCTTGACCTCTTGGGGAGTAGCAAGATTGTATTGCTATCAGGCAAGCTTTCAGACCAATAGGCCTTGATTCTTATGTGTGTGGCCATAACTAAAGGAACAAACATTCAGTTATATTCCTAATCTAAACTTGAACCAGAACAGAATAAAGGTGAGCTAATAGGCTTTTCAGTTAATACAGAATTGGCTGCCAATTTAAAAAGTGATTCTTGGAATTTAGATGCACTCCCTTACACACAAGGGTTATTGATGGTTTATGCCATAGTCTTAACCTTCAGCTGCTGTTACCAGTTTGCAGACAGTAGCATTCTGGTTAGTGAGGCCTGGTAGCTGGCATCAACAGGGTGCAGCTGAGATTTTCTTGGACAGTAAATAAAGAAGAGGTATTACTTGGCTGAAGTCACTGGAAAAGCAAAGTCATTCCAAATTGGCCTGCAGGCTATATCTTTGAGATCAGATATGCTTCCAGCCATGTATTTGTGAAATCAATGCTCCTCAGATATGCTTTTTCTTATTTCTTTTTTTCCCTGCAGGATCCACACAACACTGTTGGCATCAACATTTCAACCAATATCACTATCCCACCCTCCCTTTAATCTAGATTTTCCGTTTCTGGGAAAGATCCAATATTCGGGGGGCTTGTGTGTGTGATATTGCATAAAGGATAAAGCTGTTGCCATTGATCCATTTGTGATATCTCAATATCCCGTTGGTAAATAAATTCCCTGTCTGGATAGTCCCATAGGGACCTAGAAGGAATCGAGAAAGCAATGTGTTTCTTTTCTGAAAAACAGTTCTATTTTCTTCTTTGAATACAAACGTATATTATGTTCTCCTTTGCTCAGGAGAGGGCAAATTTGTGGGGGGGGGGGGTTAAGGCTGGACATCCAGCCACTCCTTAAACTTCCTATTGTCCTTTTATTTAGTAAAATGACCCTAAAATTCACAACAATCATTCTCATTCATGAAAGGACAGCATCAGTATGTGATCTGCAAGTATATGAAGTAGAGAACTTTTGCAACCAACATCTGCTTGATCTATGTACACATGGCAGGTATACAGCACTGCTTATTATGCATTGCAGAATTTCCACATGGAGGTGTAACCTATGGTGGCCTTTATTTTGGCTCCATGCATTTAAAGTGTAAGACTTCTCCCAAATAATCTTGGGAACTGTAGCTGCCCTCCTACAGAGCTACAGCTAAAGTTTCCAGGAATCTTTACGGGAAGTCATGTACTTTAGGGGAAGTCATGTACTTCAAATGTTTAGTGGGTACCTTTGACCACTTCCCATTACTCTTGCATAGAAGCAGTGGTGGAGCTTCATGCTCCGGCACCGGGGGGCGGAGAGCAGGCAGGGGCGGGGCTGGCGTGCGTCCTGGGGGTGTGGCATGTCGCCTGTGGGGGCATGGTGCCCAGTGCAGGCAGGGGGGCAGCCGCGATGGCACCCACTGGGATCACACTGCCGGGGGCGGTGCGCTCCTCCCACACTTCTCTTCCTCCGCCAGTGCATAGAAGAAGCCAGCAGAGAGAAACATAACCTAGTTTAAAGCCATGTACCATTTAGAGAAGTAAATATAATTAGGTCTTATTAGCATGTATTCTGTGAAGAAAGACTTGGGGGTAAATTGAATGCTGGGGGGCTGGGGGTGGGGGAGGTTGTGTGGATGTGTGTTTGCAGCCTTGGAAAAGCACGACAAGGGGACAAAGTTTTTGGCAACTATGTTTAAGCTAACAAACGAATTTTCTCACTGCTAAGTTATAAATTAATTTTAATAGGCTGATCCAGATGGTCCATTTGGAAAATGGATAGCTTGATCTGTCGAAAATTAAACTAAATTTATCTCTCTCATACTTCAAACTGAAGCTAGTGTGAAAAGAGTGCCCATTAAGTCCAGTGAATACAGATGGACCGGCAGGTCACACATGGGACTAATCTGATTCATTTTAAAAATAAATGTGTGAATTATTGAATCAGTCTCCTGGTTTGAGTCCTGTTTTGTGCATGTGTGCAGTCTTTTTAAAACAGACCCTCAAATGCTTCGGTGCCTTTTTAACCTGTATGTTTCCATTTTAAATTCAACGTTCTTGCCAAAAACTGTAATTAGTTTTCAGTAGCCATCATTTAGTGTTGGATCCGAATGGTAGATTGATTAGGTCGGGCATTTGTTATTTTATTTCTGAAGAGTTGGGGCTTAGTAGCAGAGAGAGAGAGAGAGAGAGAGAGAGAGAGAGAGAGAGAGAGAGAGATCGCTTTTAGAAACCAATGAGGGGGAAGCTCCCCAGGGACCTTTGAGCCTTTTGGCTTTTGGTTGTGTTAAACAGAGCCATGAATGAAGATCTGTAAATTTATTGCAGTGCCATCTGGGTTTTCCCATTCTTTTTTGTAGGAACCATATTATTGTTGGCTTGTATCTGTCTATTGTAGTGGTCACTCCCCGGGAGCTTGCCCTCATCCTCCAAAGGAAAGTGATGAATAGCAAGGGTCAGCAGGCATAGGTCACAGGGCAGCTGTCCGGGGCTGCCCTGAACTTGATTACCCTACTGTCTTTAAAAATATTGGCACAATGCAGGTTGTTTAAAGAAAGCTTCTCTCTCCTGTGCTCAAATGGGGTAATAATGAAGTGCCTTTTTGCTGTCAAGACTTGCTCTATGGGGTGAGTTGGGGGTGGATCTCTGTGGAGAGGAAATTGTGTCAAAAGGTGCCATGGGGATGTGCTGACGGCAGCAGGATTGCAATGATGTGCATTGCACTTTTCATCGGGATCATCTCTCCTAAGAGCTTCCCGAAGGAAGGAAAGTGAGGCACCCAAGACCCTACTCCACCCCATCCCAGCCACCCAGCATTTTCATGAACTCTTCCTTCAGCAATTTGACACAGAGCTGCAACATTTAGAGGTTGGGGAGGACATACAAAGCCTCTGACATTTTATGCTGCAGGATACTTAAACGTATGGGCAAGCCAGAGCGAAAGAGAGGCAAAAGTAAAGGAACATCGCTTCCTAGATACTGTAGAGTAGGCTGTAGATGTTTCTGTGAGGAAAAGAGTTGGTGTCTAAGCTGTAATTTGTATCAATCTTGAACGCTTGTTAGGAAAAAGTGACCCAGTATGAAGGGGGAATAGTTATTTCAAATGTGCTTATAATTTGCTTTTGTGTTTTCCTATCCACTATTAAAACCCTCCAGAGTTTTATTTCATTTGTACTTGAGGCCAGTTATTATCCCAAATATCACTTGTGCAGAAATCCTTGCCTGTTCAGCAGAAATGTTGTCTTGCAGCCTAAAAACTCTGTGGTTGCCCCCTGTCCCTGTTTCAATGCTAATCGGGTCTGTCAGATGTGCGGCATTTCTGCATTCCCCCGTAATGGAGTAAATTGCTTGCGTTGTCTATTGTCCTGACCTTTTGTTTCCGTGTCCACTTACAGGCCAATGAACGTGGGTAGTGATAAATAAAGCTCTGAGCAGGACTCTCAAGTCTTTGAAAACAGCATGTTGCCATCTCCCTAGTTATATTTCTTTAAGTGTTTACGTGTATGCTGAATTCTTTTCTCTTGTGTGGCTGGAACCCTGGGGCCTCGGAGCCATGAGAGAGGCCAAGAAGCTGACAAAGTAGCTGTCCCCTTGTTAGCTTGTTCCTTTCTTTTAAAAAAACCACCACAAAAAAACCACAAGATGAAACCCATCTGGCTCAGGGCATTACATTTTCCTCCCCCATGCACCTCTATAGATGAAGAGTTTCACCTGCAGTGAGGGTTTACATTGATTAGGAAGGGTGCAGTAATTCAACTCTGGCCATCCACTTCACTGATACTTTGCAGTCTTTAAAGGTGCTGACCCATTGAGTTAAGCTGTCAAGAGGAGGATAAAAAAGGAGCTCCGTCCCAGGAGGTAACAGCTGCCAGGTTTTCAACACCTTGTGCGCTGCTGGAGAAATGTCACCAATTGTCAATGGGGAAGAAAAATGACTGACTTGCCTGCCATCTTCCCTTTTAATGACTAGCCTTATAAAATGAAGGATTTAAGCCTCGGAAGATCAGCCACCACAAGGCAAACTTTTCATCGGCAGGCAGAAAATCTAGAGCATTTTAAAGAGGTGCTACATATGCAGTAGCCCTTTGGCGGGGAAGATGCAGTTAGCCCAGTTGGCTAGGGCGACCTTTGAATAATGGGGTATAAGTGTAAAAAGTTTGCGGAAGCCACTCGCATCCAGCATTAGCTTATCTACTTTAGGGGGAAAGGCAGGAGGGGGAGCTATATTCATAAGCCAGTGAACTGAGAGAAAGCATACTGTATTTCTGCTCTTTGGAGGACAATTTGTTTTCAAGCTGCTACCAGATGGCTAAATACCATGACATTTCTCTTTTGTTTGGGGTTTTTTCCCCCGTTTCAGTTTTTGTTTTACAAGCAATTCAGTACTCCTTGCTTTTGTCAATATTGTTTTACTGAATAAGTTTCAGTGGCTCGGGAATGGGACACAAAGTAGCATTGTCCTTCTCCTTGTTTTGATTGATAAAAGAGGACACAAATGTTGGAAATGGGCTGAGCATTTCCTCCCCCCATTTGTTTTTAGGTTAGTCATTTTAATTGTACTGAGTAATTAGAAGGTACATACAGCCAAGGGAGCATTGTTATGGAAATTGCTCAGGAAAACCCATTCCCCATTTGCCATCACCATGTGTTGAGACAATTCTTCCCTCTAGTGGCAAAATTAGGGACTCTGGCTCCACAGTAGGCAAGGTGTAATTGCAATATGACAAACTGAGCTTTGGGGACGTTTCTGTAAATGTTCTTGGTTTTGGCTTGGCTAGTCTATATTTTTTCTTGCTGACTTCCTGCAGAGATCTTTTCCCCTTCCCACAAGCATTCCGAGCAACAGAGACTAGACATTTTACTTTAAATATAGAAATGATAATCACAGTGGATTCTGGGTAATGCTCTGCAGCTTGACTTAATTCTCATCTTCCTTTTTTTTAATTACCTGTTTATAAAAACGCTTTTAAATTTGCAGGCATTATTTAATACTTTTGGAAGAAGCACCTCATTGGAAATAAATAAATAAATTGCCTTTTTAAAAAATAGTCTGTGTGAAAGACCTTAAGGGTAATTAATGGAGGTCTCATAAGGCCCCGTAAGTGAGATGAAAGCGATCTTTCTGAATCTGCAAGAGTGATTTGTTCGTATAACTTCCCACTTCCACTGAATTCTTCAGAGTCTAATAACTATTTTCTTACCATTTGGCAATTGGCGCTTTGCTGCAAAAGCCCTTGTTTGAACAATGAAAAAAAGAGTTTAATAATCTTGTCTCTGGAAATGACTTGGGGGAAGATTGTGCTCTTGGATTTCGTTGTTGTGTTTTTACTACAATAATATCTTTCTCTGATAAATCATGTAATTATTGACTACAGGGGTGGGAAAGAAATCTTATTGAACATTTAGATTCTCCAATTAAAGTGCTGGTGTGCTGAAATATGGGATCTTTTGGATGAATTGTGAAATAACTTTTTATTTAGACCATGCAATTGCAAAAGCCATCCATTGGTATAGATGGAAAACGTGGAAGCCCTCAGGGATTCAAAGGATTAAGAATAGGCCCACTTGATCCTGACATTGGAAGGACCTGTGGACCATTTTATTCATTGCATAGGAACCAACCCTGGGCTTGGTAAATGCATTCAGCAGAGAGCTGCACCAATTCCCATCCTCTGAATGTTGTGATGCGATGTGTGTGTTTGTCATATTCATCCTTTGTACTTTTGGGCATAACCTAAAAATATGAGACCTTAAGATGTTCGTCAGTCAGAAAAGTAGAGTTGTTAATATACCCTGCACTGCTGTGGAACATAGATATGAAGCAGTTTCTGCTACTTTAAAACGGGTAAATTTTTAGTCCTTATGGCTGCAGAGAGAAGGTTGGCCAAGCATTACAGTGTTTATTGAAAAGAAGAAAGATCCATTTCATACTTTGCTCATTGTTTCTGTATTTTAGATACTCCCTCCTTACCACCTCAGTCCACCTCAAAATATTCTGATTTCCCCCACAGATTATGAAAAGACAATGTTTTACACTTCATGTAATTTTTAAGTGGTACTCCAGACAGGCTCTCCACATCCATAGCAGCATCTGCAGGTGGTAATTTGGACCTTTGTCTGGCGATAGATGCTGCTTTGCATCGCCGAGCTCCTCTCATTGCATTTCTGCTCCTGACATGATTTGAAGCGGTCATACGTCGGTAGATATTTTTTTCCCATTAGTGTGTTGCTATAGGCTGCTTAACACTCATCTCAAACAGCTTTTGCAAGGTTAAAGGAATGTGGCTTGGTAACAAGTTTGTGTCATTTTAAATATATACCTTCCAGTAAATAAGGAGGAGCCTAGCAATCAATCCCTTTTAGTGTGTTATATGTTTCACCTGACAACTAAACCCTCTATTGATTAGCCATTACTTTGTTGGATAATCCTGTGTCATTGAAACCACTGTAAAAATTAAACTCTTTAAAATGTTTTACCCTAGCAGCAGTGTGAAAATTGAAAACTTGTTCAGAATTATAGCCAGCTTTCACCAAAAGGGTAGTTTTCAACAAACTGGTTTATGCTTGCATTCTTTATACGCAGTATAAAACCGTATTAAAGCACTCCAACGCAAAGCTATCTGCCTCTGGCTCAGTATCTGGCTGCCATTTCAAACAGTGCTTCCCGTGGCCTAGAAATGGCCTCTCTTGGTGATTGGGGAGGAGATGCTTGGACAGTTCGGGTTTCTGAGCTAGAATTGAATCAGAAATCCTTTTATAGCCAAAACACGGAGTTTGGACTTCTGTAGAATGATCAATAATGTAACAATGCTTTGTGAATCTCACAAAGGAATTCAACATGAGGTAATGACGGGTGGCAGTGTTTGGGTGATGAAAAATTGAAACCTTCTCATCAATTAAAAAGGTGCCCCTGATTAATTGGGCAGCAGATTTAATGAAAATGTTTTTATGCCTTTTTAAACACTGTGGCTTGCATCTTAGTAGAGGCATTCCTCCTAATCTTTCACACAGAAGGGGATGCACAAGATATTGCCTGCTTCAACATAGGTGGGCATATTCCAAGAACAAATTACGTGTCTATTCCTCTGTGACTGTGGCTGAAAACGCAATATTATCTGTATGACATACTCTCTCATAGAGATGCTACCCTTAAATTTTACAAAACCACAAACAGCTTGGGGTCAGGTTACTCGGAAGATCTCCTTGTTCTGTATATATACCTACCTACCTGATCCTTGAGATCCCTCCCAGAAGCCCTGCGCTTCATGCTGTCACCAAATGAAATGAGGCAGACAGTTACTAGGAAGAGGGTCTTCTCAGTGGTGACAACCAGTTATGGAACATGCTTTATAAAGAGACTTGATTGATGTCAGCCTTGCAGCCTTTTTGGCAACAGGTTAAAGCCTTTTTATGCATCCAGGCCATTAAAAAACACACACAAGTTGTTCAATCTGGCCATCTCAGTCTTAGGATCCATGCTTTATTGTTTCTCTTCGAGAAAGCATTTTTTTTAATGCTACTTTTATTATTTTACATTTTATTCTTAATATTTTATTTTATTTTTAAAATTTCTGTGAGCTGCTTAGACAACGTATGTTGTTGGGCAGCCCATACAAATGCAGTAAGTAAATAAATAAGCAGTTGTTTAAGCTTCCTCAAGCATCATTGAGCCCAGAAGCAGAAAAGTTTACGTGGCAGTGCTTCGTTTTGTCCAAATTGAAATAGGAAGGAGCCAAATCCATTATGGAGCACCCTTCCTCATGCTTTGAGTTTTTGCTCCTTCACAGGAATATTAAAAACACTTTTGCTTCTTGTTGCTGCTGGATTTGTTTGGGATGGAATGCCAAGAGGATCTATTGCTTTTATTTTATTTTATTTAGATTTGTGCTCCATTGTGTGTTTTAGTTTTCTGTAAACCACATTGAAATACTTTTGGAATGTACACCTTTGTAGAAATTAAGTACGGTAAATAATAGCTTTGCTTCCCCAGGGAAATAATAACCTTGTGGAGAACAGAGTGTTACCACCTACCCCACATTTTAACAATTGACAAAATGAGCTTTTGCAGGTGGTGGGGGAGTTTGGGTCTCTGCTTTAAACCACTGCTGTAGAAGAGTTTGGGGTGGACATATTCCCCCACCCCACCCTTAGATTTCTTAATTTAAGAAATTGGAGGTGATTTTTTTTCATGTTCCTTGAAATGTAAGGCTCTTGATTTAAGCAGTACAAATCCCTGTAGGGCAGACTTGACCATTGTGTATGATATCTCTATATGGCTATATAATGCAGGCTGTTTGCTTTAAAAGTAGAAGCCCATGAATGCAATTAGCTGCTCTAAATACATGAAACACCTTACCTTTAGAACAAATACACTTCCATTATCCAAACCATTCTTTTGTTTCTTCTTCACAGACCTATAATAGCTGTGCCAGGCTCTGCATCAACCAGGAAGCAGTTTGCTTAGGGAGCACTGCTATGAAGACTGAAAACTGTGTGGCCAAAGTAAGTAAAGCTGCAACTGTCATTCTTGTACCAGGTCAATAAGCTGCAAGTTCTTTCTTCATTGGAGAGGCAATTTAATACTGTGCTTTCTGAATGTATCCGTATAAACCTAATTGAGTCCATAGGGTCTTATGGGAACTTATGTAGTCCTTTATCGATAATGCACATTTTTTGTTTTAATCCTAAGAATCCCTGCCTCATTAGTTCCCTGCCTATAAAGGGAAAAGGTGGTATATAAATAAATATAATAATTATAACAATAATTGTTAGTTTTTGAAATTAGGGTGATAATATGGTGAATATTTAGAAATGAGAGTTGAAAATCCTAGTGGTTTTTTTTTAAAAAAATATTATGATTTGTTGGGCCCTTTAAAACAAAATATGTGCCAAATGTATCTTAGCAATAGCCATGTTAATGTGAGAAATACACAACTCAACTGTTGCACCTCCAACTGGTGGTTTATTTATTTTTATGCTGTCTTTGTCCAAACAAGTTGTCCATGGTTGCTTCCAGCAGAGAGAGGCAGCTGAGTGGGCATTCAGATTGTAGGGCTGCAACCCTGCCTCCTTTCTGAATTTAAGCCCCTGCAATTTTAGACAGGGAGCATATGATATTCTCATACCCCCCCTGCTGGCCACTGTCTCAAGTCACACAACTGGAGCCGAGGTGGGGGATTTCAGCGGGTTGAAGACGCATCTGATTTTAAAACAAAGCACTTTCCGAGGGATGGTGAATTGGGTATGTTCCCTTTTGCATTGCCACATCAAAAGAGACATTCTCAGGGAAATGTGCATCCTGTCTTTGGCTTCCCCTGCAACTAAATATAACTCCCATAAAATAAGAACCGTGTCTGAGGGATTGTGAATGACTGGAAAACATTCCAGCCACGATACAGTGTATATAAAAAGGGCATGTTTAGCCTTGCTTAAGCTTCATGTTTCCATTGGAAGGAAGTTCAGGATAGCCCTGCAGGACAGATCAGTGCATGCAGCCATCTGTTAGCAAAACCAGCTGGCGCTTTTGCAGCATCTCTCCCCCTCCTCTTCCCACCCCCAACAAAATGGCTGGTAGAGAAATGATTGCCCTCTTCTCCCTCCTCATTCCTTGGGATTTCTTCCTGTAATGCCTTTCCCCCAGAATATGTATTCTTGCTCTAGATAGATGCCATATCCAAGAAACCTTTCTTTAACTTTACTCGAATATAAAAAAATAATCCCTTTGGCAGACAGTAATGCCATGCAAATTTTCTCCACCTTTCTGTAAAACTGCCTGTCGCATACAACGTTTCTCCTCAAGTGTGTCATTCTACAGAATCCAACATCCATTTATGTATGGTGCCAATGTGTGAGCAGTCTGAGCAATCGCTCAGTGTGCATAACTCTGTGGGAAGCTTGCTTAACCCCAGACAGAATGAAATTCTCCCTAAGGCCAGATAGATACCTCCGTTTGAATTTTGGCATTCAGTAGTGTACATAATGTTACTCTGGAGGACCAAGCTGTGTGGAGTCACACCCTCTGTACAACTGTGCCTGTCTCTGTATGCTTTTGCATAGTTTGCAGCTCAGTGTGGTAGGAGCTTCAGTGAGCTGGTCAGACAAAAGACTAAGCCATAGTTTAGTATTGTGGTAGCAAACCTCAGCGGGCCTTATGCTTGCTTTCTCCCTCTCCTCCTCAGGGGCAGCTACAAGGAAGAATTTGGAAGGTTTTTGCTTCTGTTTTTAGATTAACTACAGCTTGCTTTGTTGTCTAATCTCTGTGAAGCTGTGGTTAATTTTAACTTTGGCTTATTTATTATTATTTTTCTAATTCTAATAATTTATACATAGTTTAATACTGCAGTTGTATTGTGTACAATAGGTGTTATGGAGGGATACAGCATAAAAATAGTTAAAATAAACCATAAGATTCAGGGGGGGGGGGCTGCTGAAAGTCTTTACCAAGAATAAAATGTTTATCAAGCATCAGGGAGCAGGCTGCCTTATTTCAGCTTGGAGGGAGCTCCTCAGAACTGGACTTACAATACTGAATACACAACCAGTAGTTTGTGAAGCTGGCTTATTTCTGCTGATCATCAGTTTAAGAGTAACCACAGTTTAGGGTTCAGATGATTCATAAACTGTGGTTAACATAAAACAGTAACAAAAATTTCCAGTGTCCTCGTGTCCACAGTAGAATGAGGGGAGAGTGTGCAAGCCATGACATACATATCAAGCAAGTGAGTGCAAAGAGCGTAGCTTAGGGTGCAGCTAGGTGATGTAGTGGCATGGTGGGTCTTTTGCAGTAAGACTCGGGAAATGTTGGCGGAGCCCAAATCTCTGCAGTCCCTGTTCCATGTGCTATATGAGTCCAGTGGAGCAATTAAAATGTGATGATACAGGGTCAGAGTTCAAGCTCATAATTTTTGGGGGGATGAAGGCCTTGTGGTTGTCTTTTTCCTAATACTCTGAAAAATACGGCGATGTCCAGTCCTTCTATGGCAGATGGGGGACATCAGCTCTGTAATGCAAAATGCATCTTCTTAGTTGAGAAGCATTTTATGTAGTGTTGTATCTAAACTGATGCCTTGATTCTTACTTAAAAGGTAAAGGGACCCCTGACAATTTAGTCTAGTCGCAAACGACTCTGGGGTTGCGGCGCTCATCTCGCTTTACAGGCCGAGGGAGCCAGCATTCGTAGCTTCCGCAGCCAGCTTCCACAGACAGTTTTTCCGGGTCATGTGGCCAGCATGACTAAGCTGCTTCTGGCGAAACCAGAGCAGCACACGGAAACACCATTTACCTTCCCGCCAGAGCGGTACTTATTTATCTACTTGCACTGCGTGCTTTCGAATTGCTTGGTTGACAGGAGCTGGGACCGAGCAATGGGAGCTCACCCCATCGCAGGGGTCCGAACCGTCAACCTTCCGATCAGCAAACCCAAGCGGCACACTTATTTTTCTACAAATGGGTGTTTCTCCCTCCCCCCTTTATCTGCAAGCATATAGCTGTCTTATTGGGAAACCCCTTCAGGTTCTTGGTTTCAAATTCTCAGCCTGAGATTATAAAATAGCTTGGCAGAGTTTTCCCTGCATGTGCTTCCTCTAGCAGTAAACTTTTCTTCTATGCAGAACTCATTCGTTTGACCAGAAGTTGTGTGTGGCTGGCAGGAAATCACAAGGGAGCTGCACTTACTAAAAGTAGTTTGTAGCACCTTTAATTAAAGGTGTGCCCTCAAAATGGTCGCCCACAAAAATTAGAACTCTGTTAATTTCCCCTGGGATCTTGACAAACATCTATGAGAAGAAAGCCGGAGACAAAAATTAGGTAATGAATCCTCCTCTCTGATAAAAGATATGGTCCTTCCAAGCACTGCTGCACCAGAGTGTTTATTCTTGGGCACATATTTTGCATATTTGTGTGTTGCTGGGAGTGGTGTTCTTAAAATGTGTGGGAAAGCATTGAACTCTCATAGGAAGTAAATATTTCTCATGATGGTGTGTATAGACGAGAACTGCATTACTAGTTCAAAACCTTTTGAAAGTGGAGTTGACATGGGATATGCATTGCCAAATATCCTGAAGACTAAACAAACCACTTTGCAGAGATTCAGTATTGTAGTATCTGTGAATATATCACTAGTTTGCTTTATAGGTGAAATTCAGTGGGTGTAAATTGAAACTTAAAGTTCTTGTGGGCCTCCCTTTGTACAGAGGAATCTGTTCCCATTTGTAGCCCTCAACATCACTCTGCCTTTCCAAAATGAATATTCAAAACTGGCCCAAAAGAATGCATTTTTAAAAAACAGTGTAGGGTACATTTAGATGTGGAGATTGTTGCATTACTTTTTTCTGGTTGCAATGTTAGCACTTCTGTCCTCGTTTCTAATGTTACTGCATTAACTGTTGTGTTCTGAAACTGTGGCTTTCCATATACTGCCGTGTTACACTAAATTCTATTCACACCAGTGAACATGGTGTGACACAACAGTGGACATCATCAAGCATGCCGCCACTTTTTTATGTGCATGCACTCTTCTGTTCCCCTGTGATTCACCCAGGAAGCTGGCAGGAAAGAACTGAGTGCCAGAATACTGCCCTAAATTTCATCACATAAGCAGCAGTGAAAACCACAGGGAAATTTCAGCACAAAACTCCTGTGATTATCCAGGTTAATGGGGTTGCAAACAGATTTTTTTCTGGAAGCATTTTGCGTGCAAATGAGTGCTAAACTTCCACTAGATTTCCTGAATTGACATGTGAAAGATCACCTAAAACACTAAAATTATCAGGTAAGGAAAATGGAATAAAGTGCTGTCTGAAGGCAGCCATAGTAAATGCCTGACACTTGTTGACATAGGAAGATTCTAAGAAGATTTAAAGAAGAATGAAGTAGCTATATAGCTGGTAATGATCTGCAAACCCAGTCTGCCAAATCTTTTAAAAGGGATATAAAATCTCAGATGGAGTTTAAGCTGGTATCTAACCATCAGCATGCATCTGTCAACTGCAGAAACCGTTCAGCATGTTGGCAGTATTAAAATTATAGCTACCATCAGACACAAGGTAGACCAGGCATTAGAGCCAGTCTCTGGTTTCCTAGGATTATAAGAGATATGAATTTCAGGTTGTAGACTCCTCTGTCTCCTTTAAAGGATCCTTTCATTTAGTTTCAACATACTTCTCTGTCTTACTAATTCAGCACCTTAGAACAGTATGGACTGGCTGTTGTGCCGAACTTTCTTTGATAAGGCCTCCTCACAACTTTTTACTGGAGCTCAAGGACAGGCAAGGTGTTGCTTTCACTGACGCAGTGAAAGCCAGCCAGACAAGCAGCTGTTCCGTTATTTAGTAAGCTTGGCTCTTCAAGCTACGTATTGGTGACTGTGATCACTTTAGCTATCCGGTAGAATGGTACACAGCTAAAAATGCCTGCTAGTGAATGTCCCACTTTGGGCATGCAGAACACCTGGACAGATATGAAAAGTTCCAGAAAGGGGATGGGGTTCTCAGACAGGTAGACCT